CGGCAGGAGATCGGTGATCTTCTTCAACTCCTTGTTCTCCTCGCCCACCTGGTCGCACCACAACACCGACAAGTGTGAACAACCACTCACGCGGCACCATCCTCATCGCGGAGGGCCCATGCTTTCTCCAATGCTGGATTGAGGCATCCGCCCCTCTGTCGCCATCCATCTCTCACAGCCTCGCAGAATCAGAAACTTGAACGAGAATCTGTATTTATTACGGAGAAATCCGATGAGCTATAAAGCTCTTCTCCCCCCCCCCCTCCCCCGCGACCTGTCCAGAAGCGAGAAGCACGGCAGAAGTGAGCTGCGCAGAGGGGGGGGGGGGGGGGGGGCAGCAGCGTCTCATCTCACAGTAACTTCGTCATCAGCTGGGGGGCTGCTGCAAGCGCTCACACGTGGGAGGACCCCCCAACATTTGATCTGGACTCGCACGGTCGCACCCAGAGGCTATTCGAGATACGCGCAACTCTTCCTGCCTGACGACATCCCCGTTGCGCTCACGGTCTCCTGGAGCCGCGTGCGGTGGCTGTTGGAGGGCTGCCGCCTCGTGGCCGTCCCTGATTAAGGAGCCACCGCCGTGTAGCATCTTGAAGTGTTGAGTCTCGCTGTTGGAATTCGAAGACAACGCCTCGACTTGTTGTATTGGTTGCCGACCCCTGTGCTACTGGATACGGAGTTGGGGGAGGGGGGCTTTTGGGGGGGTTTGGGGAGGAGGAGGGGGGGGCTCATGCAGAGGTCACGTGATTGATGGGAGGCTCGTGTAGCCTCTGCGCGTCTCGCATCACGGGGGGGGGGGGGGGCACGCGGTGGGGGCCGCACCTCCAGGAAGACGCCGACCACCGCCAGGCCATCGGGGGCCACAGCAGCCTCCTCGAAGCTCGCGTAGCGGTCGGCACTCCAGTGGACCAGGTGCAGCTGCAGTTGAGTGGGGCAGGGTGAGTGGGGCAGGGTGAGTGGGCAGGGTGAGTGGGCAGGGTGTGTGGGCAGGGTGAGTGGGGCAGGGTGAGTGGGGCAGGGTGGGTGGGGCAGGGTGAGTGGGGAAGGGTGTGTGTTATGGGTGTTTGCAGGTGTGTGTGTGTGTGTGTCAGGACAGGTGTGTGTGTGTAGGTATGGGTGCGTGTGTGTGCGACACAAAGAGAGAACAATTATTGATCTCTTGGGTCTTAGAGACGACACAGGCAACAACAGAAGGGCACAGGAGGGAGCAGCTCAGCCAAGCACCACTCCCGACCACCTTTGTCTTCCCCGTACAAATGTATACACACCGAATCAGGGACTCTGTTCAGGCCGAGTTGTGTGTATCTATGTGTGTGGTCGACTCAGCCTGACATGGTGCGGTGTTTACACATCAACACTGGGGAGACAAAGGCGGCCGGGCGTGATGCTGGCCGCCCATCCCCTCGTGTGCTGTCCGGGCCCTTCATATGCGCTACTCGCTAACAGCACTTGCCCCTAACAGAAGGCTACACGGGGGATCTTTGCCTTTGTTTGTTTGTGGGGGCCAGCAAGAGATGCGATGGAAATTTTAATCATCTCATTGATCCTCGGAAAAAAAAAAGATGAAGACGATTTTAAAAAATAAAACGATCACCATCTCTGATGAAGACAATGGTCTAAATCCCCAAGTGATTCGCGTGAACTCGTTAGGACGAGGCTGATGGAAAAGAGACTTAATGAGGCCCACGGGTTGCGTGTTGGTAAAGGGGGGGAGAGGGCCAGGGAGGGTGGGTAGCACTTTTCCAAGGTGAACCCAAATACCAAGGTGTACCCAAATACCAAGGTGTACCCAAATACCGATGTGCACTCAGGTACCAAAGGTGTACCCAAATACCAAGGTGTACCCAAATACAAGGTGTACCCAAATATCAAGGTGTACCCAAATACCAAGTGTACTCAATACCAAGGTGTACCCAGGTACCAATGTGTACCCAAATACAAGGTGTACCCAAATACAAGGTGTATCCAGGGTGCTACGGTGTTTGTGTTACCCACAAACCGTCACGACCACGTGCATTCATCGTAATGAAAAATGTGGGTAGGGGGGAAATGTATCCGGCTTCTATTCGCGATTGTGCTGCTGTCAGTGTACGGAAATCTCAGCGCATCAATGCGACCTCTGTTGTTCGGGGAACGGTCCGCGGAAGCGGACACCACAGAGCCGCCCCTTGAGTGCCCTTCAATGTGTCCTCTGGTGGCTCCCGCACAAGGGCAGAATGACAGCGCATTCCAGCTCGCTCTGCCACCGGGAGCCACGGTGATCATTGCACGGCGAGTCAAAGCGATGTCTGTCTTTGTTGTCAGAGCTGGAACGGTGTTTTTTGTTTGGTCAGATCAAGCAGAGAACTAATATTAGACCGTGGCGCCAGCGGGGGTGGTGGTGGTGGTAGTAGTGGTGGTGGTGGTGGTGTTGTTGTTGGTGCGCTTGAAGCCACTCGAGCACCGGCACTTAATACAAACCCACGGTTGCTGAGCGCCGGGGCCCAGAGAGATTAAAAACAAAACGCTAAGCGGCCAGCAACGCACAGCACAGGCAGTGGCTGTAACGCGGATTCGAACCGCAGGGGCTCAGGTGGTGCTGACGTCTGAGCCACACTCCGCTGGCCACGTCAGTGCGGGCGTGCAGTGTGAACTAAACTAAAACAGAACTCATTTTGTATTTTACCAGCTAAGAAGGCCCCACTGAGCTAGACACAGCTCTTATCAGAAGCGACCTGGTTATCACAAATAATAGGTCAACGAAAAGGCGGCTTATCGCGTGACAATTTATAGCAGCCAAAGACTCCAAACGCGTGAGGTCGATTTTAAATGCGTAGGGGATCCACAGAGACACAGACACAAAAAATAAAAATATACAGCAGGCGTCAGCGTTGGGTTCGAACCCACGACCTGCTGTATACCGGCACGAGCGCGGCGAGTGTCTGAGTGCACTGGGGGCGCGAATGCGCTCGGGTGAATGAAACATTTAGGAGGCAAATGAGCTGCAATTATTAAGTGTCATCGGTAGGTAATGATGATCGTGGTGATATTAACAATGTCAGCTTGTAAGGCTGCGCCCCCACCGCCACCGCCGCTGCACAGCGTTTGCTCGCTCTCGTACGGAGGGGGAGAGAGAGAGGGGAGGGGACGACCATTCGGAGGTACCAGGAGGAGGAACCACATTTCGCCACGGTGGCGAGATGTTAACTACCTCGCCTGGTATACAGGAGGTCGTGGGTTCGATCGAGACTCTGATGCCTGCTGCTGTATATTTGAAGTCCGCGTGTCTCTCTCTCTCTCTCTCCCCGTGGTCGCGTGGACTTTTATCTGGGTCCTCTGGTTTTTCCCTCTGCATTTAGGATCAACGTCATGCATTTCGAGAATGTGGCTTCTATACAATTCCACGTGATGATAAGCCGCTTCGTTGAGCAAACATTTGTGGCCGGGTCACTCCTGAAAAAGAGCTATGTAGCTCCGTGGGCCTTACCTGGTCAAATAAAACGTACTTTTTTGTTTCATAGTTTATAGTGGGGAGGCAGCAGCGAGGCGGTAAGCCAACACCAATGATTGCCCAAGTTCTGCGATTCTCTATATATGAAGGTGTTATCGGCCAATTAATGAGCGTTTTTTATGTGGGAGTAAAACCAGAGCACCTGGAGCAAGGTGGGCAACACTCCTGCCATGCAGATGGAACAGGTGGAGTCCACCTTTTGCTGTGCTGCCATCTCCTGGCGAGCCAGGCTACGGCACCTCCTCGACGCCCATGGGAAGGGAGTGTTTCCACCGTGTGTGTGTTGATCCAGCAACCCTCACTGTCTCCACAGTGCTGGGTTACAGGCCACATGCATAGCCACCGCCAAGGACATGTGCGTTCTAACACTTGGGTGCAGCGTGTGGATGTGCATGTCTATTTGGCGTGCTTTCACAATGGGGTGCACTGTGTAAATGTGCATCTCGAGATTTTGCACATAATCACTTGGGTGCACTCTAGGACAAAGTACTCTAGGACCTATTGATTTTTGGGTACACCGTGTAAATGTGCATCCTCGAGCTATTGCACTTGGTCACTTGGGTGCACTTTGAGACAAAGTACTCTATAACCTATTGCTTCTTGGGTACACCGTGTAAATGTGCATCTAAAACTTTTGCACATCGCTACTTGGGGTGCACTTTGAGAAAGTGCCGGGGTATGGGGGGGGGAGTCTGGTACCTCTGCGGGATACGTCTTCCCCTTCACCGTGTGCTCCGAGCCGACATGGTCGTGCGAGCCCCAGTGCATGTGCAGCTGGCGGAGTCGGTAAGGTCCATGGAGGGCCCCCCCTTCTATGACTGTTGAATAGTGAGAGGGGACACACACACAAAGACATCGACAAAGATCCCACGTATAGCCTTAACAGACTGTTGAGGCAAGTGCTGGTAGCGATTAGCACCTAATGAAGGCCGGCACGGCACACGATGGGGTGGGTGTGCCAACACCACGCCCGACCGCCTCAGTCTCCCCAGTGACGATTTTTTTACACACCGTACCAGGTACTCATTTGAGGCGAAGTCACCACCATAACCATCACCAGCATCACCACCACCACCACCACCAGCACCACCACCAGCACCACCACCAGCACCACCAGCACCACCAGCACCACCACCACTATCCCCACCACCACCAGCACCACCACCATCACCACCACCACCAGCACCACCACCACCACCAGCACCACCACCACCAGCACCACCACCATCACCACCACCAGCACCACCACCACCACCAGCACCACCACCACCAGCACCACCACTACCATCACTACCATCACCACCAGCACCACCATCACCACCACCACCAGCACCACCACCACCAGCACCACCACCACCAGCACAACAACCAGCACCACAACCAGCACCACCACCAGCACCACCACCAGCACCACCACCACCAGCACGACCACCACCAGCACCACCACCATCACCACCACCAGCACCACCACCACCACCATCACCACCACCAGCACCACCAGCACAACCACCAGCACAACCACCAGCACCACCACCACCATCACCACCAGCACCATCACCAGCACCACCAGCACCACCACATCACCACCACCACCAGCACCACCACCACCACCAGCACCACCAGCACCACCAACACCACCACCACCAGCAGCACCACCATCACCACCAGCACCAACACCACCAGCACCACCAGCACCACCAACACCACCACCACCAGCAGCACCAACACCACCACCACCACCAGCAGCACCACCACCACCACCACCTGCACCACCACCACCAGCAACACCACCACCACCAGCAGCACCACCATCACCAGCACCACCACCAGCAGCACCACCAGCACCAGCAGCACAACTATCACCACCAGCACCACCAGCACCACCACCACCATCAGCACCACCACCACGTTGCCTTCGTGTTGCCGTGAACAATCCCGCCCGTGACACCACCACCACTTTCAAACAATCGCAAACACCGCGAGTCACCGATTCTAAACACTGTAACACGAACCTCTTCCTCGGTGTAAACATCGCCGCGCCGGTGAGATGTCAACGTTGTGTCGCACGCCCTCCTCCACCCGACAGTCAAATAGTCACGTGAGCGAACGCAGCCAATGCATCTCCGCTGCAGCAATCGAAGGTGGAGGGAGTCTCTACAGCTCCCCCGAGTGGGGGCCTTCTGACAGCGGCGGCGCGAGCGAGCAATTGCAGGGCTGCACCTTCTGTTCCGCTTACCGCTGCGGTGGCTAGGAGATGTTAACTCCCTCGCCTGGTGAGGCAGGAGGTCGTGGGTTCGATCCCGACCCTGACGCCTGTTGTATATCTGGAGTTTGCGTCTCTCTCTCTCTCTCCCCGTGGTCGCGTGGACTTATTTCTCCGGATCGTCCGGGTTTTCCCTCCACATTTAGAACCGTGCATTGAGATTATTGAGATTATTTTGCTGCGATAAATCTACACGTGATGAGCAACCACTTAATTGGGCCATCATTTGTGGCCAGGTCGCTTCTGAAAAATCCGTTTATACCTCAGTGGGCTTTACCTGCTAAGATAAAAAAAACACTCGCTCAGTTGTATTTGTATATTTCAAGTTATTTGTTTACCTTTTCTATACTTTGCACTCCTATCGTGTTTTGTTTTGTTTGTTGAATCGTTCTGACCCCGTGCCCCTACTGGACATCTGTGAAAAAAAGAGCTTCATAGCTCATCGGATTCCTCCTCCCGCAGTATCAACCATTCTGAAAGACCCAAAGAATATTCTGATTCCGCGTCATGCGCCGCCAGTGGCCGCGACAGAGCGGAATAGACTCCTTCATCCACGGGGGAAGCGCCAATCCTCCCTCGTCTCTTTTTGTTTTTTCACCACCAATAATATTCCCCGAGATCCGACTTGGCCGAGAAGCGGGGGTTTGGGGTGGGGGGGAGTTGGCGTGGTCCTCCCGTCCCCTCCTCGGCTGCAGCGTCCCCGGGACACAGCGGCAACGCATCTCACTCGCCTGCGTCGCCCCCCTCCACGCTGCCCCCCGCCCCTCAAGTGCCCCCCCCCCCCTCGCCGCTCCCAACCAAGTGATGAATAAAAATCGACTCTCTTCGGCTCTGTAGCGGCCATGGAATGGTTATTTATTTATTCTGCCTGGAGAAATGCGATGGAAACTCTGTTAGTCTCTGCACAGCCCTCCAGTGGGGCCACGGGGGAGGGGAAGTCACAACAACAAACAAGCAAACAGACGACACGAACAACGCGGCAGGGATGCACAGACGTTGTCTGGGTGGACAAACGCCATGCGGCTACCCCCGTCCTCGCGATCTGTGCGAGACGCATTCAGCCGCTTCGACCCGCACCGACCGGCGTGGTGAAGTATGGTCAACAACAACAACAACAACAAATATCCATGAGCGGCTAAGGCGATTCTGGCTGCTGCGATGTGGCCAGGATCGATGCACTTTGGAGCGATAGATTTTGCGTTCGCGGTTGGAGTTTCTCCAGGAACGCGACGTGTCTTAGTAGACGTCGGTTAAGTGGAATCGTTGCGTGGCCCTGCCGTCGGAAATATCTGAACCACGGTGGATTTGCTCCGAGCCGGATGAGAGAGGTGAGAGAGAGATGAGAGAGATCGCATTTCACTTCCAACATCCGATGAGTTTACATTCCACGCCCTGCTCCGTGCTCTCCAGAGTTACTGACCATATTTGTTTTGTAAAAGCCAACACCACTAAGGACAAAGACCCCCCGTATAGCCTTAACAGACTGCTGTGGCAAGTCCTGTTGGCGAGTAGCATCTACGAAGGCCGCCATCGCACTTGAAGGGGTGGGTGGCCAGAAGCACGCCAGACCGTCTGTGTCTCCCCAGTGGCGATGTTCACACGTTGCACTAGGCACTCATTTTAAGGCTGAGTCGACCTAAGGGAGGCATAGGACCGGTTCAAATATTCGCCACTCAAATTGGCCGTGAGTGGGAATCGAACTCGCGACCACCATACCCCACCACACCCCACCACCACCACCCCACCACCACCACACCCCACCACCACCACCATACCACATCACCACACCCCACCACCACACCCCACCACCACCGCCACCACCACCCCCACCACCACACCACGCCACCACACCCCACCACCACCACCCCCAACCACCACACAAAGGCGGCCGGGCGTGGTGGCAACCACCCAGCCTCTCGCGTGCCGTGCAAGCCTTAATAGGTGCAAACCTTAATAGGTGCAAACCTTAATAGGGGGTAGGGGGGGTATTAATCTTTGTATGTCTGCATGTGTTTATGTGACAACCCCCCTCTTTGGGGATGATTTCCCGCTCGTGACGTCAATGTTCCCCAAGGGGTTCGTTAGCGACCTCGTGTGCCCCCTCCTGCACCTCCGTGGAGACCCCTGGTATCCCGCCCTGGGTCACCTTGATAGCTCCCCCTTCGCTAACCCCTTGGGGGCCGGGGGGGGGGGGGTGTCAGTTGGGGGCGTCTTTGCCGTAGGTCCCTGCATCACAGGTTGGTGCACAGTCGACAATTAAGGCATTAATTGGCCGTCGGTAATTAGGTCAGTAAAGTCATAGGAACGTGGAATTGCCGGCAGAGGTTCGGGAACCGCTCTTAAGCGACCGCTGCTGCTGAATATCGTGATGATCATCAGCTCCGACACTTCCGCTGATAACGACACTGCTGCCGATGACGACAGTGCCGCTGATAATGACACTGCTGCTGATAACGATAGTGCTTCTGTGTACGCTGCTGCTGCTGCCGCTGCTGCTGCCGCTGCTACGAAGCTTTCTTGTGACTCTGACGCTGCTGCTGATGACCACGCGTAATGCTACCACCGATACTGCCGCAGCAGTACAGCCACACCTCGTGACCCTTCTGCTGCTACTGCTGATGGTGATCACGCTGCTGATGATGACACTGCTGATAATGTTGATGCTGCTTATGATGATGAGACTGATGTTCATGATGACGATGATGACCGTGATGAGAGATGATGATGATGATGCTGATGATGATGCTGCTGTCGACGACGATGACGGTGATGAGACGGATGTTGCGGCTGCCACCGTACCGCAGGCGCCCTTGACGCTGGAGTCGTGGAAGGAGAGCATGAAGGAGGAGCCGGTGTTGGACAGCTGGCGGGACGCCCTCGAGTTGTAGCGCAGGCGCAGGGGGTCGACGGAGGGGTCGCGCTCCACCGAGTCCGGGTCGATGTCGATGGGCGACTGCCGGGGCCCCTTCGCCACGGGGTACTCGCGGGCCCAGCACGAGGGCCCTGGGGACAGCGCGGAGGGCCCAGGCAACGTGTGAGGCTCGCATGGTGCAACGTCAGGCACGGCAACACCCCCCCCCCCCTGGTGCAGGTCTCTCCCTTTAACGTCGTTCCGAAAAAACGTCGCCGCTTCGTGGTTGACACTGCCACGGGAATTGCGTCGTCGTCCCCCCCCCCCACGCTCTCGCGTCGCTCACGGCAATCGGCCGCACCTTTCTCGTCATCCGTCGCCTCTCGGCACTCGGCAGAGGTTGCAAACGGGTTTTGATTCCTTACCCGTACCCGTACCCAGCCGCATCAGGGTCGCAAACGGGTACCGGTACCCATACCCGGCCGGGTACGGGTAGCCGGGTATCGGGTAGGGTACGGGTATCGGCTACCCGGTTGCGACCTCTGGCACTTGTTCCCCCACCACCGCCCTACCCCGGACACGAAGCCCTTGGCGTGGCGTGTGAACTGAACTCTAGCCTGTCAAGGCGCGCCGAGCCGCTGTGTTGCTCTTCTGCAAACAAGCGGCCCGGCAACCACAAACGACGGCTCGACGAAGTGGGTTTATCTCGCGGAAACAGCAGCAGCGGCCATGCACCGTTACACGTGTGATGTCGATGGAAAGACTGGAGGATTCGGTGGAAAAATTCACGCGACCACGGGGAGAGAGAGAGAGAGAGACACCACGAACTCCAAATATACAGCAGGGGTCCGGATCGAACCCAAGGCCTCCTGCGTACTCTAGAGTACAATATATTGTTCATGTACAGTGTTTTGGTGATTCTATAGTGTACCGTGTCTTATTGTACCCTGTTTAATTAGTGTTCAAGCTTACTGCTGTACACGAGTGCTGAGTGCAGTGCTCTTAGTAAATTTAACGTAACGTTGCGGGTACGTCCAGGATGAAGATGCGCGCATTAACGCGGCGCGTCGCCGTTCAAGCTCCGCTGTCTCGGTTTTGCTGTCTCGGTTTTGCTGTCGCGGGGAGAAAACAAAACATCGCTTCGATTGACGTCGCTCCGATGTTCCTCGTCGCGCCTTTCCTTCAGGAACGCTATCCCCGACATAAACCGGGGGGGGGGGGGGGGTATTACCACATTACAATAAATATATTTCTTTATTTGTATATATAGACGGTTCTGTGTTTCTGTGTTTGGCGCAATTCATGCAAGTCGCGGATCGGGTCGCCGCTGCAGAATCTGTCGCGAGTGCAGAGCGTCGCACGGACGAGCGGGAAGACAGCCGGAAACACGCGCTAGCAGACGAATTGTCCGAGCTCTGCGGTCCTGTCACGGGAGTGTTTGGTCAGCTCCGTACATCGTCCCTTCCGTCCGGGTCCCTGCCGCAGCGGCGTCACGGTGCAGCGCGCCCTGCGATATCCTCGCAGAGGCAGAACGCGGCTTTTGGCTCGGCCATCGAACAAAAACGTCGGTCCTGCGGCCGTCTGGAACGCTCTTGCTTCCCTTCCCATATTAGGAAGCCACTGGAGCTGTGCACTTTTAAATCATCTGGATTTACAACTCATTTCTGCAGGGTCATCATGTGTCCTTACCCCCCCCCCCCCCGCAACTCCGATTAGCGCGGCTGGCTCCGTGTGGTACGAACCGAGTTCGACGTTCGTATACACTGGACTTGGAATCCAGAGGGCGCCCGTTCGAGTCTATCTCCCGGCGCGGCATTTTCTTGAATCCCCCCCCCCCCCCACTAACCCCGCCCCCCACGTCGCCTCCATCCACCCAGCAGCAGTACGGACGGGATCGCCACGGGTAGTCGATCGGCAGGTCGCAGCGTGGTGGGGGAAAACGTGGGCACTCCCGCCCGCTTCTAAGACGCCTGCCCAGCGTGGAAGAGTAGGCCAAGACACCCGAGATACCTTCTTATGAGCGTGGCAAACTGCCCTCACCAGCGCGGAGAGCGGCGACGTTAACTTTGGCGATAAATTATCATTTGACCGCAACCTGCCGGAAGGCCACGTGTTCTGCCCCGGGCAGCCCTCGTTCATGACCGCAGCGACAGCGGCGTGGATGAAGTCGTCAACGTGACGACACGTGCTCTCTCTCTCTCCCCCTAATCTGTGTGCGCTCTGCGTCTGTCAACTTGATCCGAGCGCAAACGCCCAACGGTGATGATTATACTAATAATAAACAACAACACGACACCGCACGGACAAACATCCCCGTGTAGTCTTAACAGACTGTTGGGGCAGGGGCGCACAGGCACAAAGCAAGCACGTGGCTATTTTAAGCCACTGTGTGGTTATTATCTATTTATCAAGATATACAAAAGGGAAATGTGTGAATGTGTGTCTGTTCGAAATGCTTAGCATACTTCCCGACACGCAACAAACTTGAAATTTGGCATGTGGGTAGCTTCCAGACTGGACACAATGCAGAACGTATATAAATAGACTTTTGTATCTTGGGGGAGGCGCAATAATGGATATATTTTTTGCACGGCAAGTGAGCGGTGACGTCAAATCTGTGATGTCACCCGCATGCGGCAGCGTCACGCAGTGTGCCTGCTAACGTCACGCATTCCCCCCCCACCCTCCGCGTAGGCCGTGTGTTAATCCAAGACGACAAGACCACAATTCAAGTGTCGGGCGAAGCCGGGTTGGCTAGTTTTAAGGGTAAAGATCCACCCTCCCCTGGCCCATAGCCTTAACAGATTTTTGTTTTCTGGGCAAAACGCCGTTAGCGAGCGCACACGAGAGATGCCGGCACGGCGCACGAGGGGGCTGGTGGCCAAACGATGTCTGCGACACCATCGCTGCCCCAGGTACGGTCCTCGTATTTGAGGCCGAGTCGACCCAGGGGGAGGCCCAGGGCCGGTTCAGATAAATCGTCGCTTGTTGTCGGTGGCTGTCAGCCCTGGGGGGGGGGGGGGGGGGGGGGGGTCGAACTCGGGTCGCCGGGGTCCGGAGCGCGGCGCTAACCGCTGCACCGCCGATGGAGCGTGCGGTTGGGATAAGATGCGGGTGCTCAACAGTCGGGCCACAACACACGAGCGTAATAACAACAACAACTCGTGGACGAGGTGGAGCGACCTCGCGCTGTGAGGGAAGAGACACAATTGCGAGTCCGTCGGTGGCTGTGAGGGTGTGATGTTTGAAGGAGGCGGTTGGGGGTGGGCAGGGTGGAGAGGCGAGATAGGAGCTGAATGGATGGATATTCATTTGCACATCACGGCCTCGTGTGAACGGGTGCTAGAAGTGTAACATTGCATCTTGCACACACACCCGCGCGCGCGACACACACACACACGTGACAGACACACACGCGTCTACCTGCACGACACACGTACACTGACGCACAGAATTGACACGCCAACAGATATATGCAAAGATCGCCCGTATAGCCTTTAACAGACTGGCGGGGCAAGTGCTGCTAGCGAGCACCTATGGAAACTGGCACGGTACACGAGGAGGTGGGGTGGCCAGCACCACTCTCGGCCGCCTTTGTCTCCCTCGTGTTGATATTTACGGAACGCGACAAGCACTCGTTTATCGTTGAGTCAACAACGGCGTTGGCTGCCCGGAGCTTCGCTCGTTGCTGGCGGACGACCGCCTCCGACTGCCCAGCAGCGTCCTTCACGAGCCTCCTCCACAGAGGCCCACGTTGACACCCATGGTGCCACTCAGCTCCACATTCTCCCGGACCGCATCAGCCCATCTCTTCTCTCGTCCGTGGCGTGTCAATTAAGCCTCGTCCATGTGACCAAACATGCCCAGCTACCGCATGCCCGGGCATGCGGTCGCTGGGTATATGGGGGGCGGCATGACCCAGCCACCGTATTTGCACCTGCCGGAGGAGCTCGCCGATGGAGCAGATTTCGCAAGGATCTGTGTGAGCTCACGCAAGGATCTGTGTGAGCTCACGCAACATCCAGTCCGGTTAAACCCAGGATGGATCGTAGGCAGGTCAGGCGGAACGTTTCAAGCCGGGCGTAGGGAGTTCCTGCAAAAGGGGGCCCACGTTTCGAAAAGACCCTGAGCGGCATTATCCTTCTGTATACAAAGATACATAACAGACTGTTGGGGCAATAGATGTTTGCGAGCACCTATTAGGGACGACACGACACGACACGCGAGGGATTGGTGGTGTGCCAGTACCGCACCAAGCCGCCTTTATCTCTCCAATGCTGGTGTTTACACACCGCATCAGGTGCCATTTTAAGGCTGAATCGACCTAGGGGAGGTCTAGGATCGATTCAGACATTCGTCACCGATGTATGACTGTGAGTGGCAATCGAACGCGGGTCGCTGGGTCGTGCAGTCTGCTAACCATTGCACCACCGCTCCTCACCACAAAGACAAAGATCCCCCGTGTAGCCTTAACAGACTGTTGGGGCAAGTGCTGTTAGCGAGTAGCACACCTATGAAGACCAGCACGTCACACGAGGCGGTGGGTGGCCAGAACCACGCCCGACCACCTTTGTCTCCCCAGTGGCGATGTTTACACACCGCACCAGGTACTCATTTGAGGCTGAGTCGACCTAGGGGAGGCCCATGACTCGGGTCGCCAGGTTCGTAGCGCAGCGTGCTAACTGCTACGCCACCACTCATACAGATACACACGCGCACTGCCAACACTTATATATATATAAAACATCTCACCAAGGATGTAAATGAATACGGTGTTAATTTGAGAGCGTAAAGCTGCATCGTGGGACACTGGCTCCGCTCACTGGGAGGCGCAGAGGTGTTCGTGTTGGCGCATGCATCGGTGCAATGGGTTCCACCTCCGGAGCTCTTCATCGAGACCCCAACGCAGCAGATTCAACGGACAAATATCTCAGAGCCCTGCCAATGCCACCGCTGGACTGAAGCCCCCCCCCCTCCCCTTGCTCCCCTGGCGCGGAGTGTGCGCGCGGGTCAAGGGGGGCTAGCCAGGAACTCTGGTCGCCGGGTTCGGGGGACCCGTTTGCGCTAACCACGGCGCCACCGATCAACCACCGTCATGTAGACATTTAAACTATCGCGTGGTGATGATGCTGCTGGCAGTGGTGCACCACCA